ATATGCCTATTGAATTTAATATATGTGCTCGATAGAACTCAATAAATTTAAAAATCCACAAAGTATAGACAAAATTTAAAAATTCAACATACTAATACTTGAGGTCGTTGTCCTTCAGTACTCCCGAAGTTCAATTTTTTGATCCACTTTTGCATTTGACTTAAAAATGGGGTATATGTATACGTATGTGTATTGCCCCCCTCGTACCCATTTAATTGCTAGAAAGTGTGATGTGAATAAGTTGATCGGTCAATAAATTAAAAGTTCAAGATGATTAGAAAAAATACATTTCTTTCATTCATTTTTATTTGTTCATGTTTGATTAATTGACACATCATTTAAGAAGTAATTAATAAAATGATAAATTTACTATATCACCCCTTTGAATATACTAATCCAATATTTTAAAAAATATAATAAAAAATAACTATAGTTAATAATAAGAGAAAATTAAAAATTAATAACCCAATATTTCTTGATTTTTCAAACTGGACAAATAAAAATAATTGGAGCCTGGATGTGTACTAACATAGGACAAATAAGTTAATTATTCTTGATTTGGTACATTTGTGTTGTTTAGGATCTCCATAATTAAGGTGATCATGCATATTTTCGAGTTAATCATTTATATTGAAGTCGTTGACCATGACTTCCATTAGCATCGTCATCTTTGCATATAATTAATCTCCAGACAACTTTTATTTAATAATGCTAAAAACAGCCTAATTAATTAATAAGTCTACGATTATGTCCCTAATCAGATCTGTAATGTTAAATTACTGTACAAATTGCTGCAACAGAATATTATAATTATAGGCCAATTCGATGCATCGTCTCTTAATCATGATCAAGGGTTGGATGTCTCAAATTTTTTGTCAATAGAAATCGAATCCTAGTCCTTTTTTTTCCGTTTGACATCTGGTACTCGTATTGAAATTTAATTGAATTTGTATTCGCACATTGCGCAAGACCTACTTTTGGGGACAACGCTCTCAATAAGATTTTTTATATTTTCAAAGGTTATAATTAACTCAATACTTTTAATTAAGGATGAAGGAGCCATTCCACCACGATCCATAGGGTAGTCAAATCCTAATTTACTTACACTTAACAGTAAAATTACTATGCCGGTTTTTAGTGTCTTGAATTTTTTAATTATTTATTTAGAAGCACCTCTAGTGAGATTATCATGAATAACATTTTTTTGGATAACTAAACACATTTTATTATCGAAGTGGCAAAGTACAACTCAAAAAAGAAAAATAACACCAGGCCTTACTCCAAAAAAATTTAAAAAATAGCTCTTCCAAAAGATTTGTTTGTAATTGTAGACATTAAAATTTTATCATATTTAAATTAAAATAGAATTCTACTAGGAAAACTCAATCCATCTTGGTCACAGATTAGCTCTGTTAAGATTTCCGGACGCTACTTTACCTTAAATTCTACAATTCATAGAGGTATCTCGAATATCTCATAAAATTTTGGATATTCATAAATAAATCGAGATTTTAAATATCCCATAAACTATTGAGCTTCCATATATATAAATAAATCTAGATTTCAAATATCCCATAAAATCTTGAATATTCACAAAAAGATATCTCAAATATTTCATAAAATCTTGGATGATGTTTGATATTCTTGACAATCAAATTTATCAGAAATAGATTCATATCATATTATATTCAAGAAATACGCTATATATTAACGGTCCACTAATCATGATGAATATTTATTAGGAGAGCATAATCAAATCTTCGTTTTATTATATTTTATTTTATTTTATTTGTGATTTCAATTTATTTTTCACCACTTTTATACTTAAATTATTATGTTTTGTTACTAATAATATAGTTTAGACGGTACTGTCTTTTGAATACAATACGTCAACTACAACCAAGTGTTCATTAGTTTGCTTTAAATGTTAGATCCAATTTATTGAAAATTTTGTATTCGCCACCTGGCTGGTATACTTTAATTTCAACAAAAATATTTGACATACAACTAGATTCAGTAATTTCTACATGATAACGGTATTATATTGTAGATACAAATATGAAACTTTGAAAATATTGAATATTGTTTAGAGTAAATGTGGTTCAATAGCATTAATTTTTATTTTTATTTTTTCATTGTAGAAATTGATAAGAGAAAATAGCGCAGCTAATTGAGGACAAACTGAATGAAAACACAGAATTGGAGACTCAGTGAATTATATAATAAGACCACATACTTTAATATTATTCTAGTATAATACGATTTGTACATCTTAATTCTTCCATAAAAGAGAATGAGAAAATATAAAATACTTTAGAATGTTTACACTACCCCTTATGTAATATTTTAATTATTATTTTTTTCAAAAAAAGAGACTACTATTATACTATATATGCGATCGCCATATATATTGTCACCCATGCATGATCATGACAATTGACAGCCGTACAATAATTTACGTACACTTGCAAATTCTTTTTGTGGGATCCCAAATATGTCCAATTGTGTTTTTCCGTCTTAAATTATTTATCGTAATTTTAAAAATAATTATTTTAATTTAATTATTTATTATTTTAGAAATATAAGATAAAATTAATTATATTTTCCTTAGTAATTATTTTGAACATTACAAACATCTTAATAGAGTAAATATTTATTAATATTGAGAAATTACATCTTAAAATAAAAATGATGATAAAATAGTAATTAATATTTCTTTAAAAAAGAGGAACACAACAAATAATTTGATATGAGACGAAAGAAAATATATATTTCTTTTATTTTTCTTGTTGCCAATCCCAATGGTCAATTTTATTTTATTTTGGTCGGAGAAGGTAGCTATAGCTAGGTGTCTTGCTATTTAAACATTGAACAATATCATGACTACAAACAACTTGACCAATATAATGCTTGTGTGAATAGAACACAAAAACTTACTATTCATTAATTCAACCAATTTTCGGTAAACCACCTTTTCCTGGAGTTTATCGTTTTCTCCTTTTTGAAATTCGATGTTTACATTATAATTCATATATATGTAACTTCAACGACGACAATTCACAAAAGTCCACTAATATAAAAATGATTTTTCAGTAAATTAATTTAAATATATCATTTATATTCGCTACTAAAAGAATCACTATTTTTCTATTTAAATTGCTCACTAAAAAATATTCAGTGATTATTTTCGTATGTATTTTAATTAAATTGGCGATAGTCATGTGTTTTCGTAAAATAAAAAAATCAAAGCTTCCAGATTATTTAAACTTGTTTAAAAGCATATGTAGATAGAAAGTCGAAGGGATGATTAGGCAGAAGGAAGAAAAATGTATGGCCTTCCTTTTTTTAATTTTTTTATTTGCTCACCACTAAAATAAATAGGAATTAGCCAGTGACAAATCAATTTATAGGTAACAACAAAATTTGTTTTTGCTAATTTTATTTAACTACGAATTAATGATATATTATCACAAAATTCTTGTTAGTGTTGATAGAATGTATGCGTCCATTAACAATCAATGGATCAGGTCCCTTGATAGAATAAAAGTGTGGAAAGTAAATAACTCAAAGTAAAATAGACACGAGAATTTTACATGGAAACATCGTTGATCAAGGGAGGAAAAAACCACAACCTCTCTCACAGAGTTTCAACCACTTCACTCAAAACAGAGCAATGACTTCAAATTACAATAGCAATCGTAAAGAACAATTAATTAGCGATAAATTAGTTCACGGTAAATTCTATATATATTTTTTCCTTGTGACATCAAGGTGGCTTGAAAAATTTAAGAATAGAATGTCAAGAAGTTTCAAATTCTAGCTAGAGTAGTTGATGAATGCAATAATTTCTTCTCTTGACCTATCTATATATTCTTGTACATCCTATTTGGAATTCCTTTGTCTAATTTTTCATAGACATATCTAAATTTAAGATCTTGAAAAATATTGATTCTTGTTTTTCATCATTTTATTGATCCCCCCCCACCCCCCCTACCCACTATTTTTTTTCTTTCTAAATATTCGTAACCGTCTTTGTCATCTTCAAAATAATGTTACATCTTAGAGTCAACCCCCTTGCATTGAGTATCTTTGATCGCCTAAGTGATTCAATTTTATTTTTATCACGGGCATCAATGTATATAACTTAAACTCACATAAAAATGATAGATTTTGATAATAACATTTTAATAACTAGCAATATCTTAAATGTATTCGTAATTATTGATGTGGTGACATATATAATATGTACAAGTAAGTATGTTCTCAGCGTGTGTGTATATATATATATATTATGGAACTTGAGTTCAATTAAATTAGAAAAAAATAGTCATAATCTAAATAGGTTGAGAGAAATAGGAACAGAAGTTTTGGACGGAGGAATAACCGTTAAGATATGGTTTGAGTTATTTTTTTATTTCATCGATCTTGTATATTGACCTGGTGTAAGAATCTATTACTCACTAGCAAATATCATATCATAATCATCATGATATACACCATATGATCCGATCCCCCTTTGATCTAACTGAGGCGGAGCTAGAAGCCTAACTTATAAATTGAACCCACTAGGTTTAATTTGTCCCAAATCTTATATTTGTGTTATAAATTTTATTAAATATGTATATAAATATTGTGTTGTATTCATTTTAAATCCATTTAATAGCATTTGAAATAGTTTTAATAAAAAAAAACTTATTTAGAAATCATTAAATTCAAATTTTGAATTTGTCTTATAATAAGTAGTCAGGCTAGAGTTGTAACTCCTTAGATATGTACCTAAATCAAACGATTGCAAAATAATAATTAAACAGTATAGATTGTGATTTCGAGTTTATTTCTCTTGCATTATTTACAATCATTATATTGTACAATATATGTATTGCAAACAATAAACCTCATGATCTTAATTTCTAGAGGGATGATAAATAATCTATATATAATTGAACGAAAAACACTATCTATTTTTTGGTTCAAAAACATCACTCTAGACCATGATGTTTCTAAGTCCTTTGGGATTGAACCATGTTCACCATATTCATAGCAGCATTTTTCCATTGCAAGGCTGCATTGAAGTTTAATCCAGAAATGACAAACTCCTTTGCTTTATTGATAAAATCAATGTCTTCTTCTTTTTGAACATGCAACCTCTTTGGACATTTGAGCAAACTAAGATAAGTACCCAAGTCATGTACACAAGAAGGATTATGCATCTTGAAAAAATCTAATAAGATTTCAACTCCAACATGTGCATAACATGAGCAACTCCATGGTACCTCATATTTTCCACCCAAAACCCTAAAATTCTCATTTAGAAAAACCCCAGGAAGTTTTGTTATAGGGTCATTTACATTTGTTATTCTCAACACTTTTACACCTAATTCTTCACACCTCTCTTTGAAGCCTGAGTTTCCAACTCTTGGCCCTCCAAAGGAAAAAACAGTTACAGGTACAGTGTGATCATCATGAGTATTCAACCCTAACTCTGCAATGTCATAAGCTAGTAAGAGGGCTAATGCACTCCCCATGCTATGTCCAGCTAAAGTTATACTCAGTTCCTCTCCTTTATACTTATTTACTACTCTCCCTATCTCAGATAGTAATTGCTCGCGACAACTTCCAAGGCCAAACTTCTTGTCTTCATTGGAAGTGTACAAACTCAAGAATCCAGCTTCAACCTTAACCTGAGGTCTCGGATTATGAGGATCAAGACTAGCAGGAGTCAATGAGCTCATCAAATTGGCTATCCATTCAGGGATAGTGACCGTTCCACGAAAAGTAACAACTACATCTCTCCTCCCAAGTCTCTTTGTTTCTTCATCATTTGATACTGCAATATAACCAATCCATTTTCCACATGATGAGCCAATACTAATATTATTTGGGAAGACATGATTTATTATGTCTGGAGTAGCATATATGTATTTTGTCACTTGATAACCTGATTCACCTAACCCTACTTCACTCAACATACTCCTCTTCCCATACTTGCAATTTAAGTATCTTTTTGAATTTGGATCAAGATCAAATGCATCATAACAAGCAGCCACAAACTCTCCATATCGAATAATCTCTGATCGGAGGAGAGAGTCCAATGGATCAACTAGGTTTTCCCAGTTTTTTGACCCTTGAACTTCTCTCCACATGGAAGACAATCTCCCAGTATTACTACTACTACTACTATTACTACAATGACGATCCATTGCAATATTATCAGTACTAGTAGTAACACTAGGAGCAATGTTCTTCGTAGGTGATAATTTGGGACTGAGACGTAGTTGTTGTAATGTCAAAGGTGGTGCAGGTGCAATTGAGATACCTTCATTTGGTTTTACCATACATGGCTTAGGCAAAAACTCTTCTGAAAATGTAGGAAAGTTTAGATTTGGAATATTTGGTAACCTAAGCATTGTATGAATTCAAAAGATAGTAATATTATTTAAGAGCTAGGAAGAACTAGAGAGGGAGTGAGAGCTCTAGATGAATTATATATATCAAGGGTTATTTACTTATTTATATATTGTGTTTATTTGTCATGGACTATATGGTGAGAATTGAAAAAGGTGTTGTTGAGGTGGGGTATGGGGAGTGGGGGCGTGGGGTGTACAGGGGAAAAATGAAGAAAATAAAGGCATGTTTGGCGAGTAATTTGACTGAGCAAGGAAAAATTCCAATAAATGTATTAAATTAAGTGGTCGGTTTGGGCTCAAATTATTTGTTTAATTTTTGCGGCTACAAATAAAATAAAGCCAAAAAACATAATATAAAAATACGGTTTTCCTAATTTCTTTTCAAGTGGTTGACTTCAAAGGTGCGTTTTGCTATGTGGACGAATTTTAGCGTGTTCTATTTTTTATTTTTTCTTCCCTCAATTTTTCTTATTCTTTTTATAGTGTATCTTAGTATGAAAAAATATGTCCTAAAAAGGAAAGTTTCACCATATACCATAATCTAATTAAAGTAGGACCAATTCACAATTGATAAATGGTCTTTAATATAATTATTTTTCTCCCCATAAGCTTGTTGAATATTAAGTTAGTTATGCACTAAATTGATTTTGATGATGACAACCTAAGATATCTAATATTTGGTGTGGTTAAAATTTAGTTGTTTGTTTATTTTTGGATGTCTAAATATGAATACATGTTTGAATATATATTGAGATATTATATTTAGATTCAAACAGATAATAATTTTTTTTAAAAAATTTAGCATCTGAACGTATATTAGCTATATTTAAACTTGATAAATGTAGAATTTAAATAAATTGCTACTATTACATTTATAAAAGTTAGGGAAAAAAATATTAATCCACATGGTACTGTTATATACATATATAAATGGTTTTTTTAATGAACCACACACTAAAAGTGATCGATGATGATGGTGGTCATCAATGATATATAGTTATGAGGTAGTAATATTTATTAGTGTTCATAATTATAAAATGGAGGTTGGTGATGATGGTAGTAAGATGGTGGACATAAGTGATGAATTGCATGTGACAAGTCATGTGTTGGAAGTCGAGGGCGATGAACCAATATAAATTCTAAACTCAAAATTCTAAATCCTAACCTCCTTCGTAATGACTAGTTGCGTAGTCATGAAGGTACCGTTGTGTAGTAGAGGCTAATGCATACCAATATAAAAACAATACACTGCTTAGTGGTATTCTTAATTTTTCTAATTATTGATTCAATTATACGAAATATTAATCTTGCTTCGTGGATGACGATTTAGCTTTATTAAATTAAACTTCCCATGAGTTTTGTCTTCACACATTATATTTATAGTAAGTTGTAAAATAATACTAATAAAAAAAAATCAAGATGGTCAACGCGATAATTCTTCTCTAAAGGAGTTTACTCGAAAGAAAGTCAACACGTATGGCCCAACCTTTTCACTAAAATTATTAGTTCCCTTTTTAGGGTAAAAAGGAAACCTAGTATATTCATGTATCTATAAAAAAAAAAAAAGCTCTATATTTTATTATTCTTCCAAGATTGAGATTTGAGTGACATGAATCCATACATTTTATTCACCCAAACACGAGTTTTAGATGTACCCATCATATTTTTTTAACTTGTACTTTCTTTACAAATGAAAAATGACCAACCCAATAATAATTGCTAGCAAATTTTACCTAAAAAAAAAGAAGAAGAACAGGATATCCGGAATCAGAAATTTTAGCTCGGATTTTAAATCACTTTTTTTTATTGATTTTGAATGGATTATCTATACATACTAGATAAAATTTTCAACTATCAAGCCTAAAATTTTAAAATTGATACAATCTCTGATCGATCTCTGGTGTTTTATTGAACGTATTCGACCTTTAGTTAAACGAAATGGACTTTGGTCTAACGTTGGTATCATTTATAAGAATTTACAAATGCATGTTACGTTGCAGACTAGGTACAAGGAACTGGACTTTCAAGTTTGCAAGCTAGAATTATAATATGGAAAGGTAACAAATTATTAGGCTTTAAGATTATATATATATATATATATATATATATATATCCAATCTGTTTTTAGTGATAGATCCAAATTAATTACTATAATTAGGGGTGAACATAATTTGGACAAAATCAAAATTCAAAATTTTCCTATATTATATTAGTTGTTTCAGATTTTCGTATCTTGGTAGTCTACCCATTAGACGTTAGCCCAACGCTAAGTCCAATAGTATCAAATGTCAATACGAAATGTACTTGGCTCATACACTCACTTCTTATTGCATGAGTCATTTAGAGATAGGTCAACTGATTAATTGTCAAGCGACACAGATACAGAAACATAAACAATCACATTATCACCTCTTTAACTTAATTAGTATTTGTTGAGGCCTCTCTTTGATAATAGTTAATGTCTTTCGATGCTTGTTTCCTTTTTTTGTTGTTGAATAAAGATCTATATCAATCTGCACTATGACTATAATTTCTATAGAATAAAGAGAATTTACGTATTATGAGAATATCATTGAAGTAGAATAGCTAATGAAATAGTTCAGTCACAATTGATTAACATGGACAGACTATGCCGCTTACGTTTAATTTGAGAGTATATTAGATTGTCTTTTTTATATTTGACAATAGAGACCTCCAGAATAAATGACAAAATGAATGCCTAAACTAATTTCCCCAAATAAGAATGCTTTGAAAATATCTACTGCCGAAATTATATAATATGCTGATGCAGCTTGTACCTCATCATGATATTGAGGTTTTAGAGAGTCTCATCTAAATTTAAAATTGTCATATATTTTTTTACTTAATTAATTATCTGTTTCTTATTTAATTCTCTAAATAATGAACCAAACATATCAAAATATGTTTTTATATATAGTGATTGGCAAACATGGAGATAAGACTCGAACCGGCAAGGGTATAGTCATGAAGTATCAAGGGCTTCATTCGTATCTCCTTGGATAAAAAATTATACAATTTATATATGTTTATTTACTTCTTTATATTTTAAACTCCTTTAATGAAAATCTTGACTCCGTCATTATAAAGCTAGTTCCAAGTCTCTTTATACATGCACTAATATCAATATTGAAGTGTGTGATCATTTAATTTGAAAACTTATCGAGGTTACAATAGTTCTGTGGATGTGGAAGTACTAAAAAAATGTTTATAGTATGGGGAGTGTATATACTATATACTACTACTACCATCAAAGTTATTAGAAATTTATGATAGTATACATTTTTCTTAAACATATAGAATTGAATATAGTCGCTCTTCGATTGGCTCATGTAAATTTTCTGTTCTATCGGTATAAAAATGCAATTTCTAATATAATATAATGCTGCAAAATTATCATATAGTCCTATAATTGCCCATGAATTAATTAATCAGACACTGGGCTTCTCTAATTTCATTTGGAACTTGAAAGTGACAAAAGTTGGTAAAATAATCCGACTTCAGTGAAGAATATATTTATACTTTGCCGTGTCACACGATTTAGAAAAAAATTAATTATAGGGCCATTCAAATTAATTTAGAATATATTTGTTTCAAATACTTCTAACCTCATTTTTAGCTTAATATATCATACATCATAAACACACTTGTCTACCTCTGGACTCTGGTATATATGATCAGTTGGCTCTTTCTGCCATCACAACAGTATACTATTCTATTTGAGATGTAATTAGCACAGCAGACCAAAAAGAGTTGCATTGGACGGATAACATTCTTTCATTCTTAATAAGATATTTTAGATTTAATCTATGAGTACGAAAAGAAAAAAAAGAGTGTTCTTTACTTACAATGACTTTTATATATGTAGCACAAATTTAAATTAATAAGTCGGGGCCTCAATGCGAATATAGACACCGAATGGAAAGATAGTACATCAGACAAAGCACCAATAGAGAGTATAGACAAAATCTAAGATTTAGAGTAAACGTTGCTTTTAGCAATTAAAAAGGGATTAAACAACACAATTATTGAATTGGGTCACAATTTTGTTGAAATTTAAATGAAAAAGAAAGTTAACTACTCTGATTTGATTGATCAATTTTCATTCTTCGATTTGAACGTAAACATAGACTAACTAACTTAATTATCTTTTCTCCGATATATATATGTAGATTGTATCATTTTAGCTTTTGGCCACAAACTTTATATCTGATATATACAAAATGTAAACATAATAACTAAAAAGGACGAAATCCAAAGAAACAGTACTAAATAGGCAAATTATACAGTTTGATGTCTGGTTTAATAGCAAGCCAAAAATAAACACCATAAAAGATTTTTATTTAACATTGAGGCGGATTTAGAGTATCGGGTGACCAATTAAAACTGATCAAAGAAAAATTAAACTGCTAAGTAAACTAACATATGTTATCTCCAATTTTGTCCACTCTTGTTAATTTCTTACCTGTTACAATTTGAACACCGACCAACATTTTTTTGTTTATTGTCTAGTCCAAAAGAAACATAAAAATGTTTTTTATAACTAACGTACGCATTTTTTTTTTCGTTTGTGTAGGGAGAATATTCAACAAAGGGGTCCAATCCCATTTAACATAATTGGAAATACAACAAAAGCCTATAGTCTATGATGCTATTATAAGCTAGCCATATGTGAACATCATTTTTTATATAATTTATTAATTAATTATTGTAGAGAAAGATATGTGAATTTCTTTTGACTGGATCAAAATTTAGTTCATTCATCCTGATCTAATTAAAGAAAATATACACATGGAGGAATAAAATGAAATTTGTCTTACCGAGAAGAATTCAATAATTCAAATAAGAATAATATAGAAAAGGCAATAAATAAAATTTTGAATCAAGTTTGCAAATTTAATTAGAAGACATTTATTATTAATGGAATTTCAATCTACCTTACGGTAATACAACACCACATATCATTTTTTCATATATTGGACATTTAGGAGTCATTTTAGAGGAAATAAGTGATTTTTTTAGTTTTTCTTTTTTATGTATATTAGATCATCAATATTTTAGTCATATGACTTTTTGATGATTTTTTTGCAAAACCTTTACGGAATCCACCGTGGGGAGTTGGGGAAGCAGTATGTGAAGCCTCACCATTTTTTTCCATATATTTTAGGCATTAGGGAGCCATTTTACTAGAATTGTGTGTTAGCCCGTGAATATTTTAGTGATATGACTTTCATACGATTATTTTGCAAAACCTTTACAGGACTCTTTGTAGGGAGTTGGAGGAGCAGTACATGAAACTTCACCATTTTTTGCACATATTTTAGGCATTTAGGATCCATTTTACAGGAATTAGGTGATTTTCTCAATTTTTCGTGTTTGTTAGACCATGAATATTTTGGTAATATGACTTACAGATGATTTTTTCGCAAAATCTTTACGAAATCCTTCGTAGAGAGTTGGAGGAGCAATACATAAAGCCTCACTATTTTTTGCACATATATTAGGCATTTAGGAGCCATTTTACAGGAATTATGCGATTTTCTCAATTTTCTTGTGTGTGTTAGATCATAAATATTTTGGTTATATTTGCTTCCGAATAATTTTTTACAAAATCTTTACGAAACCCCGTGTAAGGAGTTAAGAGAGCAGTATGTGAAGCCTCACCCTTTTGTGTACATATTTTGGAAATTTAGGATCCATTTTAAAGGAATCAGGCAATTTTCTCAGTTTTCGTATGTTAGCTCATGAATATTTTGGTGATATCACTTTCGGATGTTTTTTTGCAAAAGCTTTACGGATGTTTTCATAGGGAGTAGGGGAAGCAGTATGTGAAGCCTCACACTTGTTTGCACATATTTTGGGTATTTAGGAGCCATTTTACTTAAATTAGGCGACTTTTTCAGTTTTTCGTGTGTGTTAGCTCATGAATATTTTGGTGATATGGCTTCATGACGATTTATTCGCAAAACCTTTACGGAACTCTTCATATGGAGTTAGGGGAGTAGTACGCGATGCTTCACTATTTTTTACCCAAATTTTGGGCATTTATGATACATTTTATAGAATTAGACAATTTTCTCAGTTTATTATGTGTATTATCTCATGAATATTTTGGTAATATGACTTCGAGATGATTTTTTTGCAAAAACCTTTACGGAACCCTCCGTAGGAGTTGGGGGAGAAGTATGTGAAATCTCACCATTTTTTACACATATTTTACAAATTTAGGATCTATTTTACAGACTAAAGCGATTTTCTCAATTTTTTGTGTGTGTTAGCCAATGAATATTTTGCTGATATGACCTTCAAATGATTTTTTAAAAAAACTTTTACAGAAATCTACGTAGGGAGTTAGGGGAGCAGTATGCGAAGACTCGCCATTTTTTTCAAAATTTAGGAGACATTTATCAGGAATTAGGCAATTGTCTCAATTTTTCGTGTGTGATAGCCTAAAAATATTTTAATGATATGACTTTTGGATGATTTTTTTTGCAAAACCTTTACAAAATCTTCCATAGGGAGTTAGAGGAGTAGTCCGTGAAGCTTCACCATTTTTTACACATATTTTTTACTTTAGGAATCTATTTTACAGGAATTAGGTGGTTTTTTCAATTTTTCGTGTGTATTAGCCCATGGATCTAACGCATTGGACCTCCGTAGTGAGTTGGGGAAGCATTGCATATAGTCCCACCATTTTAAGGCATATTTTCGCATTTACGAGCCAACCTTTAGGAATTATGCGAATTTCTTGGTTTTCATGTATATTAGCCCATAGATCTGGCTCCTTGGAGCACCCAATTTTTTTTTCTAAAAAAACTTTATGAGGACCTCTGTAATGAGTTGGAGAAGCATTGCGTATAGTCCCACCATTTTAAGGCATATTTTCGCATTTACGAACTAACTTTTAGGAATTAGCCAATTTTCTCAATTTTTCGTGTGTATTATCCTATGAATCTGGTGCCTTGGAGGACCCAAAAAAAATTCTGAATAAACTTTATGAGTACCACCGTAATGAGTTGGGGAAGTATTGTGTATAATCCCACCATTTTAAGCCATATTTTCGCATTTACAATGTAACTTTTAAGAATTAACCGATTTTCTTGATTTTTCGTGTGTTAATCCCTATGGATCTAGCGCCTTAGAGCACCGAAAAAAAATTCTGAAAAAAACTTTATGAGGACCGCCATATGAGTTAGGAAAGATTTGCGTATAGTCTCACAATTTTTAAGACATATTTTTGCATTTATGAGCCAACTTTTAGAATTAGCCGACTATCTCGATTTTTCGTGTGTATTAGTCCATGGATATTGCGCCTTAGAGCACCCAAAAAATTTTCTGAGAAAACTTTATGTAGACCTCCGTAATGAGTTGGGGAAGCATTGCGTATAATCCCATCATTTTTAGGCATATTTTCACAGTAACGAGCCAACTTTTAAGAATTAGCCGACTTTCTTGATTTTTCGTGTGTATAAGCCCATGGATCTAGAGCCTTGGAGCACCCAAAAAAGATTTCTGGAAAAACTTTATGATGACTTTCGTACTGAGTTGGGAAGCATTGTGTATAGTCCCACCATTTTAAGGCATATTTTTGTATTTACGAGCCAACTTAGGAATTAGCCAACTTTCATAATTTTTCGTGTGTATTGGCCCATGGATCTGGCGTCTTGGAGCATCCAAAAAAAATTTCTGAAAAAACTTTATGAAATGAGTGGGTTATCATTGCGTATTTCTTAAGACATATTTTCTCATCTACGAGGCAATTTTTAGGAATTAACCGACTTTCTCGATTTTTCGTGTGTATTAGCCCATGGATTTGGCCCCTTGGAGCACTCAAAAAAATTTGAAAACTTTATGAGGACCTCCGTAATAAGTTGGGGAAGCATGATGTATAGTCCCATCAATTTTAAGACATATTTTCGCATTTACGAGTCAACTTTTAGGAATTAAGCGACTTTCTTGGTTTTTTGTATGTTTTAGCTCATGAATATTTTGGTGATATGGCTTCCGAACGATTTCTTTGCGGAACCCTCTGTAGGAAGATGATGGAGCAATACGTACAATCTCACTATTTTCAAAGTCCATTCAAGGTCATTTTTACAGGAATTAAGTAATTTTCTCAATTTTTTGTGTATGTTAACCGATGAATGTTTTGGTGATATGCCTTCCAAACGATTTCTTTGCGAATATGCATTTTTCTCATTACGTACAATCTCACCTTTTTCAGAGTCCATTTAAGAAAATTCGTGAAGCCTCACCATTTTTTGCACATATTTTGGACATTCATGAGTCATTTTACTAGAATTAGGCAATTTTCTCAGTTTTTCGTGCGTGTTAGCCCAAACATATTTTGGTGATATGACTTTCGAATAATTTTTTACGGAACCCTCCGTTGGAAGTTGGGGAAGCGGTACGTGAAGTCTCAGCTTTCTTTGCATATATTTTTGACATTTATGAGCCATTAAATAAATTTGACTCAATCATATTTTTAGTCGTACACTCCACACGGGGGCCAGATAGTGTCATGGCCAATTTTACAAACGCTCCCTTTTTCTGCCTTATCTCCATATTTTCCTCTTGGCTCGGCGCACGACCAATAGTTGCACTCTTGCGGTTTTTTTTTCATTTTTCGAAGTCTTTTTAACTCAATGATTATCGTATGCTATCTTGATCATTTAATTAGGCTTTTATTTGTACTTTGAAGCTCCATAGCAAGTCTATTGTTGGTCCAAACATACCTATTAACTCTGACAAATTTACTATGCATAATGATTCTAATAATGATCAAGTAATAACAAAAGAACACATATCAAGCAATAAACAAGAACAATAATCAATCTGAAACCTAAATGACACATCGGGCATACAATACTAAAACTGAAAAGTCATAGTAGTACTCATATACATATGTAAATATATATCCATCTATCAACCAATTATACCTCGAGGGTATGTATAACTTAAAGTATATGTCATATAAGGCATGTCCAACTGATTATAGCTCAGTGGTGTGTATACCATATGCATGTAGTATTTTTGTTTTTTAAGATTCTTTAAAGAGACAACAACATGAAAAGGAATTCATGCCAAAAAGAGTAACGGGATATCCATTACATACCTTAACATTGACACCTCCAAGCTATATGAGAAACCGTTCACACACTAACTCAACTACAAAAAAAAAAGGGATAACATTGTCAAATTATATTTAGTTTATACATGTGAAAAATAGATAGAAAGAATTGTTATGAAAAAAATAAAATAAGGGAGGTATGCGTAATATATTATACCACGAGGGAAAATAGTGTAATTGAGTGAAACTCTGAAATTATGAAGTAACAATAAATTTAATTGTCTACGGTTTTTAATTATAATTACATCAATAATAAAATATGTGCATAATAATTAGCAACAAACTATTAAGAAAATTTTAATCAATAGTAACAATAAATACATAAATTTTTTTATATTCTACTTGGGGTATTTTGCTTCTTGCAATCTCACAATTAATAACATTTTACATGGCCTTCATCAGACGTGGTTCTCTTTTATGTATGTATATCTCCTTATGTTTTCGTAACTGAATTTTTGGGGCCTAAAGCCACTGCTTTAGTAGCAATCACACAATTTCAGATGCATCATCTGGAGTTTTAAGTTGTCCAGTCTTCAGTATGTTTTCCAGTGCATTCTGACATCTGAAGAAGTAGATGTTAGTATTATGTCTACGGAAAATCTATATTTTGAAAACAAAAAAATAAAATATGCTAATTCAAATACCTCCAAGGTAGATGGTCCAGGAACATGTATGGTGATACTATTATATCTTTGAATGCTTCTCTTTTCGCTACATACGCCCTAAACCTGCATCTTCTCTCCCAACTTTTCCAGCGCTTCCACAATGGTTTATGAAGGCCATCCTTCTGTGGCACAATATGGATAACAAGACCAGGTAAATACAACTCTGGGATACTCAATGATGACTTATTTTCAGAAGATGGAACAGCCTCCATAAATTCGGTTAAAGGATCACTAAATGGACTTGAATCAGAAGTGGAGCAATTGAATGGACTGCTGAAATGATTTGATGATTCAGTTGAAACGATTTCATCATCACAGCTAAAATCTGTATCTATGTCATGCAAAACAGAGGATCCTGCTTCACACTTTGCCAATCCTGCAGAAATAGCAGTAGCACTTTTGCATGAAATAGTTACAACTAGAAGAAGCTGCAGACAAATACAGTTAACCAGACACAACATGATTAAATGAGGCATGTATTCATATGGCAAATTCAAAAAGTTCAGTAGTACCATTTTCAAGTTGGCTATGGTTGATTTGGTTTGTACAACTTGACATTGCTGTCAAAGAATTCACTGACGATTCTCCATCGTTCATGCTTTTCTGACAGACAGTCAATGAAGTAAAGTGGTGAGCAAGTTTAAGAATTGTTGTAATATCAATAGTGCCATCTTCTGATAGTGCCTTAAGTGCAGCTGCTTGGAGTCTCATAATTGATGCTACTGAAAGGCGCGCTGAAAATTCATCATTGTTTACAATGCTGAAAAGATGTTAACAAGAACGGAAGTTAATTTTATAGCATATGAGCAGCAACACTTAATTGTCTCACAGATAATCACACTGGCAATACCTGGTAATGAATTCTGAACAAGCATCTGCTACCACCAGACCCACACATGGGAGAGCACCATATGTGTAGACGTGTAAATCTGGGTACTGTTTGCATAGCTGCTCAACACAATATAGCGATTTGATTTATAAATAAACTACATGTACTAACTCCAGAAATATATATTATTTAGAGAAGAACTGATTGGTAATACATGAAGATATATAGGCACCTTGGAAGATCCAAGTGACCATTAGAAGATTTAATATATTTACTAGGGTTTCAATACACATATAACAATAAAACTCCTGATTCTGTGCTTGAACTAATCTGCCATTGTTAACACAAAATGAGTATATTCATAAAATCAGGGTGCATTAATCACCAATTCAGTTACCAATTAAAGGAACTGTATTTTCTATTAAATGGTCTTGCACATTCAAGTATATATATTTTGAAGATATGTACTCCAATTCAGATTATACCCCACAGATAGCTGATGAAATCTATTGACAGCATATTTTTTAGAGTTGATTACTATCCATTAAATATCAGATCAATATATTTAGTTCTTTACCAATGTAATAATGTGATCTTAACAAAGAAGATCAGCCAGATAAACAAACGAGTGAATTTCATTCAATCATCCAGATGATTAATGAAGAAAAAGTGTTTTTTGGGTGTGCGTCTATGGGGGTGGGGAGGAGAAAACAGTAATGCATGTCCTGTACAAAGAGCGCCCAAACAGGATGAAGAAAAGTTCCAGGAATGCATTTCATCAGAAAAATGAATACCTTCATTCCCAGTACTGCAGCAATCGCTCCTCCAAGGGAATGTCCCACTATTCGCACACCATATCCCTCACACTCACATCCTACTCCCAGCAATGAGGAGAGAAATCCACCTGATATAGACGAAGCACACATATTTTTACATAAGTATCATAGAAAATGCGTAGGTTTAATTCAAAGGGGAAAGAAAAGGCAATTCACTGCATGGCTTCGTGCATATTTTTTTTGACAAGGCAAATAATTTATTAACAATTGAGGGAAACCCCGTATACAAGTCATATACCAAAAGAAGAGAACCTAGACAAAAATATGGTTCTCAACGAAAGAGATTCAATCCTCTATACAAATAGGGACCTCGTAAGTACACCAAAAAGAAACTAGAGACAAAACACTACTTTAAATTTTTACAAAATCAAGCTCTACCCCTTCAAATGCCCTCCTATTCCTGTCATTCCAAATAACCCACATGTATGCTAAAGGGGTAACACACCATGACCTCGAGCTTCTCTTGCCCCTTCTATGAGTCCAACTATGCAAAGCTTCCTTCATTGTATCCGACATCATCCATTGCATTCCAAACAAATTGAGGACCACCCTTCATTACCGACTAGCCACCTACAATGCAAAAGAAGATGATCTACATTCTTGCCTGCACTCTTACTCATAAAGCTCCAGATAACATAGGTAATCCTCCTCTTCCTCAGATTCTCCATTGTTAAGATCGCACCCCTAGCACCAACTATACAAAAAAAACCTTCCTCGGAGCTCAGGGAATCCAAATGGACTCATGAGGAAAGTAACTTATATAAGGGCCCTTTTCTACACACTTCTTCATATCAATCATATCAACCTGCAATTCGAGCACTAGTAACTAATCTCAGCATCTAAATTGATGCTACAACTGATTTCCGGTCATAAATAAACAAGTACAAGCATAAGCCAGTGCTTCCACCAAAGCACTGCAAGAGAGAGCTCGTAAGAATTAAAAAACAGTACAAAATTGAATCTCTTAAATTTTTCGACAGAAAAACAGGAAATGAATAAATAATACAAAAGGCAATGCACTATACCATCTCCATAATTTCCATCTACTTGCACGTAAAGATCACGTGCTGCCTCAACTACCCCGGAGTGTGCATAGTGTGGAGTGGATGAAACCACTCTTTGACGAATGCATGGGTCACAATGATCACCACTGAAAGAGAATGATGTATTAAGAAACAAAAAGAAAATGGAGAATAGTCAAATAGTGGTGCTTATATGCCATGCAGAAACCAAGTACAGAAAATTTAGTCAATAATGGGAGCAAAAAGAAAATCACAAATTTGCTACAACAAATGTTCAATGTCTTCTTGATTCCTTAATCTAACCCAAGAAATCACTTATGTGAGTATAGTTCATTTTTCCTTACTTTCTATGGTTTTTTATCATTGGCCAGACGGGTGGCATATATGGGTAATAGCCGCCCATCGACAACGGAAGCTCTTTGATTCTCTACCAAGATCGTAGAGACTTTGATACCATGTGAGAAATATTGGAGAAAAAATATTATTGAATTGTGTCTCTACATTAATACATTGAGACCCTATATAGATCCTTTCCCAACTAGGACACTACACATTATAATCCTTTTCCAAGTAGGATTCTATATATTATTCTTATTCATATTCCTATTCCTATTTCTATTTCTATTCTAAGTAGGATTGTATATACTATTCTTGTTCCTATTCCTATTCTAACATATACATTGTTTTACAATGTAAAAGATGTGTATATACACCTTTATACATTGTTATACATTATATATACATTGCTTATACACTATATAATGTATATATGTTGTATAATTATGTATAGAGATGTATATACACCTTTATAAATCATTATACATTATATATACACTACTTATATGTTGTTTATACATCTAGGCCTCTAAGAGATTGATAATCATCTCTTCTGGATCTAAGTTATCTTTTTCTTTTGTTTTTTTAGTTATTGGAGTTTCTTTCTCTTCAAGTTTTTCATGTTGAGACATATTAATTGGTGCAATTGTAGTAGGAGGGAAAGTTATGGTAATTTTTTGTGGTTGTTGATCTTTTTCTTTTTCTTTTTTCTTGGTTGGGTATCGCAAATATTTTCTTAGCCGTATAACTTGACCGGAGATCTTCATTGAACTCGAATCAAGGTGAAGCAGGACGGAAAGGAGATCCCTAAAGAGGTTGAAGTGGAAATTGAAGGTCTAATCTATACAATTTTGGTGTGGGTGGAAGCTCCAATCACTGTGAAATCAAAGGAAGAAGAAGTGGAAAGCCTTTGAATTATCCGCTAGATAATAGTACAGTATCAACTTTCTTTGCTAGAGATGTGATGGCTAACACCTGGGTAAAATCGACAGGGCACGTCACTCGATGGGGAGAGTATAGGTCAAAGGCAAATGTGGTGCATGCAACATAAATGGGGCTTTTAAAGGTATACTTGGACCTTTTACTCAACTGCAGAACTTGGGCCCAATTTTAAGCCCAACAAAACGGACCCATTAATTCATAGATTTCCCAATTTCTCTGAGAATGAAGCCCAATCTAAAGACCCAGTTACAATTGAAATCCAAGAAAACACCCTTAGAGAAAGAAGAACAACATCACACATTTAGTCATCTGTGATAACTCAAGTCGTGAAGAACACAATGATATACAAGGGTGAGGAACAACACGCAGAGACACAAGAAGACCAGTTCAACATTTGTATGACTAGTACAATGGTGTTTTAATATGTAACGGTGCCAATAACTCTTCACTTTTGGTGTCGGACCCGTGTCTTCACGACGTGGGTGTGGGCTTAATGTGAGCTTCTGTGTCGTTATCAAGGTAATAAGGCATGTTTTCCCTTGCCAATGAGCCTCTTCTGAAGAGGTGACACTAAACAATTGATATTTCACTTTATAGTTTTTTTCTTCAATTTATTTGGTCATATATTTGACATTGATGCTTATAATTATTAGTCTTGGACTAAACATATACATACATACATACATATATATATATATATATATATAGTTGTATCTTTTATCCCTTTGTGCCTTTCTCAATTAAAGCCCACATTTTATTTGCACTTAAATCCCCAATGGACCTTAGAGTTTTTTCGCGCTTTTTGCTTTTGATAACACTGCAAGGGACTGCAGGAAAGGAAGACACTTTAAGATAGAACAATCACAGTAGAGGGCTCTATACTGTAAGTTCTGCCTACAAAAACATGAATCAGATGCACTCAAAGATCAGTTAATATGGAAAGTCAAAACTTCCATCGAAAGTCACTATATATCTTTACTTGACTGGTTCGGAAGAATCTGTCCAAACTCATGAGAATCTCAGGAAAAGGGGAATCCAATGGTGAAAGATGTTATTTATGTAGACAAAATGCAGAGACAATTAGCCATATGTTCCTTCATTGTAAAGTGATCAGTCTGTTACGGGACGGGACCTGTTTATCAGCTTCAGAGGTATAATCTGGACTATGCCAGGAAAAACATCAGATGTGCTAACAAGCTGGAATGCTGAGGAGGATGGCAACACAAACAATGACAGATGGAGAATTGTCTCTGCAGTAATATGGTGGACAATTTGAAAAGAAAGGAATTCTAGGTGTTTTGAAGACACTAGTAGTTCTATGCAAAGGATTAAAATGAATTGCATCCTTAGTTTTATTATTGGTGCAACTCAGAGAATATATATGATCCAGTTTCTATTTTAGTGATAGTCTACTATTTTACTCTTTTGGTTGTGGATTCACACTGATGTAAATTTTTGGTTGCCAACACTTCTGTGTTGTATTTATGCATGGCTTCGTAACTCCTGCTATTTATTTTTGCGGTCTGATTTGAAATGTTTCTCCTTGAGCTTGAGGGTCTATCAGAAACAGCCTCGCTCCCCTCCCAAGGTAGGATTAAGGTTTGTGTGCACTCTACCTTCTCCATACCCCACTTTTTGTGACTACACTGGGTATGTTATTGTTGTTAACACTTCTGGGTTGGTGACTCATATACAGATTTGTTACCTTGACAAAAAAAAAAGTGGTTTTTTATTTTTCAAGTCTAAGTGTCCATGATCTGCGAAAACCTAAAAATCGGACATGAGAAAAAGGGCAACTATTGAGAGGTGGTGATCCAAAAACATTTATCCAGAAGTCCTAGCAATTGGGAACTTGCAAGGTATTTTTAATGGTCACAAGTACCTAATCAAGAAGTACTTCAGAAGCACAGCTGGAATTCCAAAGATAAATGCAGAGATGTAATGTCAACAAAGAAGGCAGTCAAAGGATGCCAGAAGCAGATTTAAGTGCAAGTAAATTTGTAAAAAGAACCAAATGAGTGTGTAGAGGAGATAGAAAGATAAAATAGAGAGAGAAAGATAGATTACTTTAGCAGGCTATCTAATTCTTCTTCAGTAAGGCAGCATTCCCTGCCTAAACCATCAGTTATGAGGTCTTCGGGGGTCTCAGTTCCCCTCACAGCAATTACAACAGATTTCACATTATGCAAAACCACAATAAAGTATGCTGCTTTACACTTCCCCTGAAAAAGAGATATGGAAGTTATTTTTTTTTAAATGGAAGACACTTTCTTTTTTGGATAAGAAAAAATAAAGACAATAAGCACAAGGGTTCAAAACATCCAAAATAAGACACGTGAAGTACTCATAGTTTCACTTGATTCAATATATATATAAAGAAAAAAAGACATTGCAAATTTTGAGGGATGAGGACTAGTTGCCTGAATATCAATAACATAGAAGAGCTAAGATGGAACCTAAATACAATAAGCACAACGGTTCAAAACCTATTTCTGCCCAAAAAGAAAAAAAAAATCAAAATAAGACATGTAAAGTGCTCATGGTTTCACTTGGTTCAAAAAAAAAAAAAAAAAAAAATATATATATATATAGGACATTGCAAACTTTTGAGGGATATCGAGGACTTGTTGCCTAGAATTCAATAACATAGTAGAGCTCAGTGTTTTGGATGGCGAAAGGTGATAAAAGGCGACATGGGTCTGTGGTGAGGCACTAGCCTTTTTCAAGTGAGGCCCAATTAATACCAAAAAAGTAAAATATTTAATTGCATATAAAAATAATCAAAATCTCAATAGCATTAACATATTAGCAAATATTTTAATTCAAAAAAGAAAAATAGATAGTAACTTAGAACTTGAATGAGAAAAAAATAGAACAAAGATCAAAACAGTGAAAATAAACAAAGGTAGAAGTGACTCTGAAGAAGAAGAAGGAAAAAGAAACAAAGGAAGAAGAAATTTGAAGAAGAAAGAACAACGTATTGGTTGGACTTTGGAGTCGCCGGAAAATTCTGGCCGGTTGCCCGAGGAGTCTAGTCGAAAACCCTAAAATTACCTTTTAACTTTTAAAACCCTAAATTGGTCGCCTTTTCTAAAGAAAATATAAAAGGTGACACCTTTCTCGCCTTTCTCGCCATGGCGCCGCCTTTTGAAGATCGCCTCACCACAGAGCTAAAAGGCGATGAAGGGTCGCCTCACCTTGCCTCTTGCCATTGGCGACAAGGCGATCGCCTTTCACAACAGTGGTAGAGCTAAGATGGAACCTAAAAGACAAATCTAGTAGGGGGGAAAAAAGAAGAAGGAAAGTATCAAAGAGTGGAGAAAAGTTGCATAAGAGTATCTGCAATCAAGTGGACCGGAGTTGCAGTGTCACACATGCCAGTTCAAAGTCCTATCTAAGCATGCACTTCAGTGAAGTTGCACTGTTACCCCCAGCGCGATCACCCCTCACCTTGCATCGCCTCACGCGACGTAGCGGTTGCTTTTCAGAACTAGAATCGAAGTCTCAAACCAATTTAAACTTATGAAATTACAGGCCTTAATGACAATCTGACAGTTCAAACTTCACATGGTTTATAAATAACTTAGAAATCAAAAATGTAGTTCACAGGATAGGACATCACAATTCACATGGTTCCAATATGTCCTTACAAACATAGAACCAAATAAATAACCGGAAACAAGGTCGTGATTTACTGTTAGGTGATCACAGATTAGAACTTAGGGATGTCATCACAAAACATTTGCGGCCAAAAATAGCCTAGAGATCTAAAGCTAGACTTACTTGATTAACACGCCCTTTTCTGAGCATATGTGCTGACAAATGAACATGTTTCAAGAAGGCTGCTGCATGACCTCGCCACCAGTTGTCACCTTCTAGTAAAGGTCGCCTGCGCCAATACATTTTGATTCCAAAAAGAGAAGAATCAAGCCACTATGCGAACAATCAAAACAACAGTTCAAAAAGGACGAAGTGTCATAGAAATAAGGGTTCAGAATTTCTCTAAGGAAAACAGATTTAAAGAAGTCAATAATCCTTAGCAGGAACCTTCATTTGATTGTGCTAAGTCTTAAATTATCAGGTATTTGAATATAAATCAAGAAAGCTACAAGAACCAAGGTAATTCCATTTCATCCTTTTATGTCTAAAATCAGTTCCTGCCACCAGTACTAGAGTAGACTTGCATTTGAAGTCCCCTGGGTGGAGCAAGCAGTTATCATGCACCACAGGTTGCACTGTGTATGAAAGTATGATAATCTAACTAGCTTCTTGGATACTTAAAGAGTGATGAGCATCTTAATTTTTCTCAAGATCTTTCAGATTTAAGAGGGCTAAGTAGAGAGTTCCTTTTAGCCAAAGCTCTTAAGAGGTGTTCAGAACTCAGAAGAAGATTAGTTCTTTTACTAACGAGAATTGGAGCTTGTATATGGTCTATTTAAGGGAATAGTCATTTGTTTATTTCATCCACATACTACAAAGCTAGAATCTCCTCCCATAAAAAGGCATCCCGATGCACTAAGCTCCCGCTATGCGGGGGGGGGAGTCCAGGGAAGGCCTGGAGTCTGGACCACAAGATTCTATTGTACGCAGTCTTACCCTACATTTCTACAAGAGGTTGTTTCCACAGCTCGAACCTATGACCTCCTGGTCATATGGAGGCAACTTTACCATAAAACATTACAATCACATTTTTTGGCAACTTGTCTGATATGCATATCCTTTTGCTCATAAAGTTGGAGAATCTTCTATGCCATATTCCAGCTATTATATCCTGTCAACTCACATAGGAGTTCATTTATTCTCAGGCTTTTGTTCCCATGTATTTCATCCATATCCTAATGTATAACTTGCAGTCAGATATACGTCTATGGTTTTCCACTGAAACTTTCATTTTAACTTTTAAAAAGCAAATGTCGTTACATGCTCTAAAAATCCAAGTAATCTACAACTAAGATAAACCAGTGGGTATCTGACCTGTTCCAAAGCCAGGGAGCAAGAATGCCTTGCCTATAGAGCCATGAACAAGAAAAAAGTACAGGATTTCTTCCTATATCCAGTAATAGACCCTGCAATTGACCATTCCACATAAAAATAAGCAGAATTATAATCAAGTCAAATTGAAATGCCTTGTTGTCATACCGTGTAGGCTGCTTCAGCAAATGGATGGTAGAAAGCAGCCTTGCGCATCCTTTCAATGGGTACAGCCACTGACTCTTCATACGATTTAGAGAAGGAAGAAGGATTCTGCAATAAAGCTAGTCCTGAATATCAAGAAGAGATCATTTTCTTTTACCTTACTGATAGAAAGAGATAAGCTTTGTTTTCAAAGTGAATACTTCCAAATCGCGGAAATAGAAAACAAATCCAATACTTAAAGCACTTCTAGCATTCATAACTATCATTTTGACTGTAATGTTGGATGAGAACTATACTGAACAAAGTGATCGCAAAACAATACAGAAAACCTTGATCATGTCAATTGAACAAGTATTATCCTCTAAGTTCCCCTTGCAGTTAAAATCTCTAAGTTTTTCAAATGAACATTGTATTCTTTTCCATTTTGTTTTCAACATTAAAATTTGTGACTTCTTATTTAACTATTTCTAAATCAATACCACCTTTCCCTTGTAGAAATCACTCTGAACATCTCAATTGCTATTTCTAAAAAGAACTGCCGCATCCAAATATCCTAAACTAGTTGTGGTAAGTCTAGATAATCCTGTGTCCTTTCTTTTTGGGGGTGAGCGAAGGTTATTTCAGTTTCTATATCATCCCTACTGTCAGATATGCTTACACTCTATGCACCTAACAAACTAAGGAGGTACCCTCAAGAGTTAAGAAATGTGGGATACACTTCTCCAGATGCATGTACAACCAGCATGATTTTGGCACAGATGTTAGACTACATAATACAATATTAGAACAGCTTTGATTTTTTAAGAACCTTTCACGTCCCGCATCGAGTATATAAGGGCATCCAAAAGGATTTTAAGGTCTTGCATCACTCTACTAATTGTCTTAAGATTTTTTAGGTTGAGTACTCAGATTCTTTCATACGTCCTATAGAATGGTAAATTGTATTACATCCATCAAATAAAGAATAAGTAAAAGTAAAGTACACAGACCCCCTATATATCAGCACGAACCTGCCAAGAGCTCCAAATGACCTGTTCCAGATGCACGGTAAGTGACAAGATCACCAAGTAACTGTGCCACAGAACAAACTTCATCTTCCTCTAGCACAGTCCTATGGAGCAAAAAGAGTATACAAAGAAAGCGGGTTAAGCAATCTGAATGACAATTCAAATCCTGTGGTCAACATATGCAGAGAGGCCTACAAGTATTTGACCCGTCCCAGACAGCACAAAGCTTCACGAATGCCATGATCAAATACCTCCCTATAATGTGCCCTCCAAGCGTTATCTTCTGTTGCATAGAAAGACCTCCATCTCAAGACGTCAGCCCCAGCAATACATTGTACTGGAGCCACATAAGATATAATAACCATAAAAAAAATAAGCATGTTGCGTTGCCACTTTGAACCATTTGAGAGAATCCCTGCAAGATATAGTTCATAAGTACTATCAGTTTGATGACTGAAACAAAAAAAATGTTGGTTAATTGTGTTATCTGCAATCAGTGAAAGGGAAGGGGTGTCGGGGAAAAAAGGAAAGGTGGTAAGCTTTTAAATGCAAGTATGCCACAAGTGTTATGATTATAAGAAATGGAGTTATCCATGTAGAGTTCTAATATCTTCTAATAACTAGTGAAGCACAAAGCCAATCTACAAGTCACACATATAAAAGACAACTTTTCTACTTTTCCCGTTGTTGATAAAATATTACTTGATAAAAAAAAGTCAACCTTTTAGCTTAACAAAAAAGAAGTCTTAATGCAACATACAACATACTCCGAGGTTCGCAGCAGACCCCTAACATGCAGGTTTTTCATTTTTTTCTTCTTTGCTTAGTTATAGAAATTGTTTATTGTTGCTTCCTAAAAGGCTAAAACCTAGTATTTAAGACAGGCAAAGACAGGATTCTAAAAGCTGAATTAGGCTTTTGAAACAATTCGTTACATGCAACTTCTTTGGAATAACACATTGTCATCATTTAGGATGTTGGTCTTAAACGGTTACAAGACCAATGAGAGATCATTCAGATTAACAAGTCAAAAACATTACCATGATAAGACAGTATAATCACAATATGAAGATCATACGCAGATTCTGTTTCATTATAGACTACCAACAGGAAAGAAGACACCTATTTCCTAGGATAAGGAAGATCTTCAACAGTGTTCCAGAGAGAGTTAAAAAGAATTTTGAAGCTGTCCTTAAAACAAGAGATAAAGAGTTGATGAATTGGTTCAAGAAAGCAAAGATGTGAAAGTTGCTATGACATGCTCAGAGAGCCTCAGTATCTCCTCTTATTTCTTATTTCTATTTGGGGGCTGCATGTTAATTATCAACTCACCGTGTACGGTTTTAATTGCAGGGGGTAAAGCAAGAACAATATACCAATACTTTTAGTGAGGGTTTCGAACCTGATATACAATAGAGGCCATTATATGGTACTGCTTGCTAGAACTAAATCCCATAATGTCATTAGGTACTTGCGATGTGATGGATACTACTTACCTCAGTTAGTTCAGGTATTACATTAGTCCCCTACCCCACCCCTTTTATCCATCGTTACTTTACTTTAGCTTAGAACCTTCCAGAATTCTCACCAGCAAGGAAAAGAGTACAATAGGAAAGGAGATATAAGAGAGGTAATAATAATGTTTAAGTTGCTATACCAAGGGAGTAGATTATTCTATGTAAAGAGCTACTACAGTAAGCTGATAGCTAGAGAGAAATTGGATTTCCCTCATCTTCTTGTTAGTGCATCCATGAGGTTCCTATTTGTATAAAGAGTTGAGTGCATTTTGTAGAGAGACAAACTATATGATTCTCTAATTTTTGTATACCTCATGTATATGGGACTTTTTCACCATTATCAATAAAAATTACCCTTTTCTTGATTTAAAAAAAGTGAAACAATCAACTAGCCGCATCAGAATGCCCATTATAGGACGTGAAAATTTCTGCTAGCATAATATAACATAGATGTCAGGTTTAATTCAAAAGCAGCAATAAGAAAACGGTAAAGTAAAATAAGGTAAAATATTGTAATTTGATCAAAACTCAAAAAATAGTATTTATGTTGCTCCCCTTAATGCCTAATTATTCACAGAATCAGCCATCTACCAGTTCACCCATTAACAATCTTTGACATTTGAAGAAAGGTTGAATCCACGAAAATGATGGTCGTGTTCATAGCACTAAAAAGAAAATAGGAGAACAGAGGACACATATTATGGAAACATCATAACAAAGGATATCCACCAGGTGCTCCTCATAGACAATAAAGCATGTAAAAGTTTGCATAATATTCCCATGTAAGATAGATTTTCAAGAAGGTATGCATACAATTTAATATTACCTCGCAGACAGTTGCTTGATGCTGTATCACGATGCAAAAGATTGGTGACAGTGAACAAAAGAAAAACAGCCCCAAGAAGTTGCAGTATTGTAATTACTGAGGCAATTCGAGTCCACAATAACAGTCTCCTATATTTCCTCTGTAATCAGGATAAAACTCAAAAGTAGGTCACAAATAAGAAATGTCATTCAGAGACTTCTAATGATTTTAAAATTTAAGCATTGGAAATACTTAGTAAACGAGAATAATTTTATCACACGCTCATCACAGCAAATGATCATATCTTACCAAAATGAAGTATTAATATATCTTAAGCAGCACGCTGGCATCATTCTGTTTAATCATAAATATAACCAATAACCAAAAGTTGCATATGTAAACATACTATAAAGACACATGTGAATGCAAAAACCAGAGGAGATAAACAACATCAGCTCCGTCGAAAAGGCTAATTATGACTTCTGAAAAATAAAAACTAGGACGTGCTTAATCAGCTGTGTGTGCAAAATATGAGTTTATTCAGGTAAACTTTTAGGCAGACATCACCTTGTGTAAGAGATCTGAAATGATCATTTTCTTCTGTTTGAATTGTAGTAGCCATAGAAGCTCAATTCTTCGCTTTTTCCCCTGCATTACTTTTAAAACTGGCTACACTTCATCCTCAGTAAATCATCCCCAATACAACTCCTTTTCCTCCACCAATGGCATTACTTCTTTTTTTTTTATGACAAGGGAAACACGCAGCCAACTACCCTTTGATGGCATTACTCTTTCTTGTCATTTGAATGAAGTCTCAATTTTGTTTCCCATCCTTATCAAAGGAGATGCCAACCTCTTTTGTATAAGTCTGAGAGATGCCAACCATCTCCCATTCTTTTTAATTTTATTTTTCTAGAATAGGTGCAACCATCTCTTCTTCCTACAAACACTATATTTCATAAAATCTCAAGATCTCCTTTTTATCTCTGTTTTCATGAAATGTCAAGATCTCCTTCATGATTTCCACAAGCTCTTTTCCCTAATAGATAAATCAACAATAAAATTGTATCTCCCATTTGCATTTGCCATTTTACGGGGAATGTTGGTATAATTATTGATGATGTGGATAACTTTTACTATCATAACTTAATTATATTACCTTGTTAAAATAGGACTTCGAACGTATTTAGTGAGTTGTTGGTTAGTAGCAACAATGATAATTCTGGGTATACTTTTTCATAAAGATAATGTCTGGACTATCTTGGACGCACCTTGACTAATCCATCATGTACTTGTTACTCCCGCTAACAGTGGTAACAAGTACTTATGTCCAAGGTTAACTTTATGTATTCTTAAACTATGTTCTGCATCATATTTGATACTTATATCAATCCAAATTTGACAAAAGTCAGCCAATTACTCTAAGTCCCTAAAGCAAGAAAAGCAATGTAATACATTGAACCTAGCATCACAAGATTAATAAATATCACTACTCAAGGAGAAGCTAAGATGGCTAATAAAGGAATGAAAAAATATCTAGTAGCACACATACTCCTACCTCATGACAAAAGAAAATAACACTCCTTATGTTTCAATTAAAGATAACACTCTTTTCATTTTACACCATTCAAGCTAACTAATATATTTCTAGACAACTTGCACCACGTTCAAGGACTTCAATTCATTTAACTATTCAAATGTTAAACGATGATGTACCTTAGCATCACATGATTAATAAAAAACAGCATTCGAGGAGAACCTAAACTAACTAATAAAAGAATGAAAACATAGCTAGTACCACACATCCCTTTACATCATGACAAAAGAAAATAAAAACTCCTTATGTTTCAATTTATATAGCACTATTTTCATGTTACACCATTTGAACTACATAATTTTCTAAAAAACTTTCAAGAAATCAAATTCATTTAACTATTCAATTATTGAACTATTGGGGAGAGGTAATTAGACAGGATGCAGCTCCCGATTACCGAGGACATGACATTAGATAGGAGGGTGCGGAGGTCGCGTATTAGGATAGAAGGCCAGTAAGTATGGAGCGTTGTCTTGGTTTTTGAGGGGTTTAGCCATTTCTTATAGTGTCTTGTTTTTTCTTCCACCATCACTTATTGTTGAATGTTGATTGTGTTTAGGTTATCGCATTATTTTGTGATTGTTTCTGTTTCCTCATTAGTTATTTTGTTTCTTTACGGTCGTTTTCCCTTTTTCATTATTCTGATATGTTATACTCTAGCCGAGGTCCTCCGGATACAGTTGCCTTTACCTCCACGAAGTAGGGGTATAGTGTGCTTACACTCTACCCTCCTCATACCCTACTTGCGGGATTTCACTGGGTATGATGTTGTTGGCGTAATGTTCCCCATCAAACTCACTTCTCAATAACTACTTTAATATTGTGTTCAGTTGTAGCTAAAGTCAACTTTTTCAAACACCTCCATATATCCTAGTATAATATAAAAAGGTTCCATTGTGCACATAATCAAAGCTAGTGCAGAATGAAAAAGAAAATGGTTAAAAATTACCCGTCTTTGTTGTCGAATAGCAAGCTGAGAATCAGGCAAATCGGTCTGAGAAGTTAAAATACTGGTAGCTGTATGTTGCTGAGCAATACCAGTTCCGATCATAGCAACAATCCTAATAATAGAAACCATAATCATAAGAATAACAGGCGCAGTACCGTCGTTTTCCCCACATGTAGAATGAGCGACGATAACAATAAGAATTCCCATGATAATGATAAGGGCATTCGAAACACCCAACACCACGGCTGACCTCCTTAACCTCTTCAATTCCGGTGCCGGTAAAGGCACCATTTTGCGGAATGAATTGGGAAATGTCAAACCCAATCCAAATCCCTTTGAACGGTTCCGCAGATTATTTGGATTGGGTAAAAGAGGAAGAAGAGGAGACATCAATTAACAGATGAATGAATTCCACATTTTACAAGTTTCCGATCATCTTTTTCGACCTAACAATCGTCGTTTAGGAGACAGATATGCCTCCTACAACAATAAACAAAATGACAGAAATCTCTTTTTTTTTTCTTAATAAAAAACGGATATATTTATTAATTATATGGAAATTTTTGGTTTATATTTTATGATGTACTATATAAAATAAGAATTTCAAATGTTATCCTTTTCTTTTTATATAGTTTCCTTGAAATTATTAGTCATTACACATTATTTTTCAGCACTATAATCTGAATGTGACTATTTGGAACAATACCCTCTTTAAGGTTTTAAAACAAATTATTATGTATAATTGCATTTCTCAACTTTTATTACAACTAAATATGTCTTTCGGACATAATTTTTTAGTCTTATGGAGTACTTGATAATTACTTTTACCAATTGAATTTAGTAATAGCAACCTCAAAATATTTTGTATGTGATGGTATATTATTTGACAAATTCAAAAGGCGGACTATCATTGACTTAATGTACTACTTTTCATAATTATCATATTCGGATCAAATTACGCGCACCTCAAGCTGCTTGTTACTTTTCATCATCGCAAACACACAATAAATTTATCCACCAAGACTATTACTATCTCGTAACACTTTCAATGTGGTCATCATAGTCATCATAGTGAAGAATTTTAAAAATCATACCTTTATTTTCAAGTTATAAGACATTTGTATAGAAGAAATTAGTAATGAAAGAACTAGAAAGTTTACTGAGAATATACATGATAAAAGAAAAAATGTAACAAATGCAGATGGATAATGATTTTATTTCAGAAAAAAAAAAAAAAAGAGTAAGAGCTACCAGTTACATCATCCACTGTTATTATTGCCATTAGTTCAAAAGCTCAGAAAGGTTTCCCAAAAGGATTTCGAACTGGAAAACATAGTACTATGAATCTACAAAATGACTCGAAATTGTTACTACTATATATAAGAACACAGAAATTTTAATACAACAGTATCTTCAGCTACTACATGCCTCAAAATACTCCTTCCCCTCATCAAATCTTCCATGAGCATCTCACTCTCCTTCACTCAAGATTGGTACAATGAGCGGTTTCAACTGCGCAAGGTACACAATTGCCCACCTATCCATAAAAGACATAAAAAGAATGAATTTTTTCTGAGTAATCTACTGATCATTAGATTTAGTTAAAGTTCCATGGATATGTCACTAATGTTGGTTGAATTTGTTAACTCAGAGCTCTCGCTTGTTATATCCAATCGCCAGCGCAAATGGGTAACAACTCAACTAATATTTTGATGAAAAGGTAAAGAAGCAATATTAAGTTTCTATTGTAAATGGAATCACTTCCAAGGGTAGCAAAGCATAACAAAGGCAAACTATGAACTAGTATTCTCTCCTGCTGTAAGATAGACAGAACTAGCAACATATATAGCCTCCGGCAGGAGGAGAATTTTGGTGGCTTATGCAGAAAAGTGATTAAAATTATACGAGGTCCTATTTAACTTTTTTTTCATAGGAGGGTTCTTTAATATTGCAGAACAGAAGAAAAACAGATATAATGGACCTATAGCAACTGAAGTTATGAACTCCACAACATCTCTCTTTAAAATGAAGAAATTCAAAGTGAATCCTAGAAAGAAAATCATCATGTAAGCAGTCATCTATCCAAGAACTATGAGTACATGGATCAACTACATAACCAGCCAACTCCTTAAAAGACTATATGTTTTTCATTGCAGCAGCATCCCAATATCCAAAAACAGATAAATCTAACAACCCTCTGCATATTTTATGCACACTCAGGCAATTTCGAGAGTGCAGACAATATATTAAACAACTAGTAAACCAAAATATGCACTAAGCTGAAAGCCTGAAAGAGTAGTCTACATAACACATACAATGAATGAGTGATTAACCATGCGACCCCTTTGAACATCAAAAGACTTGAGCCACAAAATGTAATTTAGAAAATTCAGATTAAGACTTAACTAGTTTCTTGTTTCAGGTCAAACACGTGAACTGATACGTCAACATTCAAGGAATATATTGCAGTATGTACCATGTCTTGCTCTTTAATTGACCCTGTGCATGTTAAAAGTGTGTTTTTCTTTTTCTTTTTTCCTTTTTTTGGGTAGGGGTGTACGTGTGTGTGTGTATGATAGGGAGAGTGAGAGACTCACATCATCCAACAGCACACTGTAGCAGTGATAATCAATGTCAGGTGTAACCTGCATCACCAAAGTTTAGTTAGAGATGTTGCAACAGAGCTCAAAGTTTCAGTTCCTACAAAGCTTGGAAGATGGCAGTAAATGTATAAAGACAATTCATGGAAGAAGAAAAACCAAACAAAAAATTCATAATTGCATCAGTTCTGTTTGCTAAAACGTGTTTGGTTCTCTCAGTTATCTAAATTGGCCAAATAAGAAATCCAGCATAAGTCAAGTCTATGCTCAACTCTACAAGGACTATACAGATACTCAAACCACAAAGTGAGGGTAGATGAATTTGAAACCCCTTTGATTTTACGATTTGTTCTCAAATGATTTCAAATATTTAACTCTACCAAGACTAATCTTTACTGCTTTTAGTGTTTTTCTTTTGTTTAAATTGCAATCTTAACATTACGAAGGAGCCGAGAAGTGATTATAATGGGAATGTTTAAACAATTAAATTGATCTTTCACTTACTAATAGTCAAGCAAATTATAAGTATACCAAAACCTTGGTTGGTAGAGTTATCTAGTACCAACATTGGTGAAAGGGATGGAAGTCCTCGACGGAACAATCAAGCTGGCTCAACACCAACTTTATTCAAAGGGAAAAGAAACATTTTTTGATAGACTTCTCCAATCAATCTAAGCAAGACATAACAAAGTCTTAAGCACAAAACAAATGGACAACTTATGCAATATCAAAAAGTATGTAAAAGACCAACATGAGTTATGTTGGGATAGTTGGCATCCCTCCAGCCTTAACCAGACGTCTCGGGCATTGCCCTCCAATGCGGACACCGAATTGAAACAAAAAGTTACTTACTTTAGCAAATTATAACTTCCTAATACACCAACAAACACTTATTCTGATTATAAAGCTAGTTAAATCAAACAATTCCCATAATAATGAACAACAATAACCCCAAACAGAATCTGAAGAAATTTTCACATACAAATTAGTTGAAGGGCCTCTGTTGCAGCAGATTCCGGCACCGAATGATGCAATAACTCCGACCACAACAAAAATTAAACTTGTCACGGCGAACCCCATTTCCTTCCGATCTCACAAATTCTGCAACAACATTATAATTTCAAAATTGGTTAATTAGGACAAAATATATATAATATACTAACAAGATAACTAGAAAAATAAATAAAATATTATTACCAAATCTGATTTTATGCAGAATTTCAGAAAAAAATTGTAATAATAGGGAATTAGGGATGATGAAGGAGAAGCACAAACGGTGATCTGAAAAATAATGAAATACTGGTATTTTTTTAGATTTAGAAATTAAAGTATTTTGAAAATATTTGATATTTTAATTTTTGCTCGAAGTGCTTGATTTTTTTTATATGGTACGTAGTAAAAAATTAATTTAACTAACCAAATGCGTAAGTAAAAGTAGAAGTACATATTTGATATTTATACATAGTAAAAAAAATTAATCAAACTATCCAATAAAAGTATATAGGGTAAAAATAGATGGAAATATTTCTTCTTTTTTTATATAGGAAAAATGTCAAAAGTATATTCTAAAAGTTTGCAAAATATTTAAATTTACTTTATGTCAATAATTACGTTCAAATATACTACTTGTAATATAATTAGTCTAAATAATTTGTTTTTCATTAATAATACCAACAATAAGCCTTTTGCTAAAAGTAAAAAAGCCTAACTTTTCTTAAATTGTGCGAAATGATTCAATTTACTCTGAATTTTAAAAAATAAAAGTCGTTGTTCAAGCAACAACAATATTATTTTTTCCAAATCCTCCAACCATAAGATCTCTATCTTGGAAACTCAAATACCCCACCCCACCCCCTTCAAGAGACTAAAGTTTTAACTTAAATAAAACTCAATCAATTATCAATTCCTTTCCAATATTTATTTTAACTACAATTCTTTTTTCGTACATATATAAATTTTGAAACTTTGAATTAGCTAGTTTTCAACGATAATGAATTTGAATTGCATAAAGGAAATAGAGAAGGGAAAAAAGTGACAACTTCCCTACTAATTTTGACATTAATTATATACATTTAATTTCCACACATCAATACAATACAAATGTTCTCTCCATACACTCATGAAAACAACAACAAAAACAAAAGATAAAATGACAATGGAGAGCTCTAAATATGAAGTCAATTTGTTAGAGAGCATTTTATTATCGTCCAATGTAAAACAAAAGTTACTTATCAACATCAAACGAAAAACAAAAAGAAAGTTGCATAAAAAATTAGTTGCAACTACTAAAACCTAGAGGATCCACCAGCTTGTGAAGCCATAGCAAGTTCAAATTGTTGAATAGAAATAGAAGGAAATGAAAGTAAATCAGATTCCTTTGAATTATCCCAGTTTTTAATCATAGGATTATTTTTTGTAGATCCATCCCATCCTATATGTGTTACATGCTTCACATCTGTTGGATAACCTATTTCCATCTCCATTTCTTCAATCTCTTCTTTGTACACTGCAACATAAAAAAAATATCAAGAAATTACTCAAAAATTACCTAATATGAGTACAAAAAACTATAATACTTACCAAATAATTGATAGAAACCTTTGAAATTCCTTTTGAATGTGTCTACTCCTTGAGAAATTCGTCGTCTCACCAAAACTCCATTTATTTTCACTTTTGATGGACTTTGATCTCCTACTTGTCTTTCTTCACAAAATCACAGAAATCGAAGAGTCAGAATTTTTATTAAGATAATGAAGTAAAACATACAAACAACATACTTGTTGGAAGGTGATTTAATTGAGAATTGTTTGTGTTGTGGCTTTTGTTGGTATTGACCACTGGAACACTTGATTCAGAAACACATCCTAAAGAGAATGGAAACACAACAAACTTCTCCATGGATCTCTCCTTCATGCCTAGAAGTATATATATATATGTGTGTGTGTAATAATAAAAGAAGATCACATGAGAAAATAGCAAGAGTTGAAGAGATAAATGGAGTTTATATTAGTAGAGAGTATAGACCAAATGGCTTTATAAAGAAGATGGAATGATTTTGAATGTATAGAAAATGATATGAGACACATAATTAATAAGAATAGAGTTTAAGTTTTATGCACGGGTATTATATTAATTAGTAATTTAAAATAAATTGAAGAGAATAATAGGTGGGTTAGAATAGTAGTTAGGTTGTTAAACAGTTACAAGTAGTGGTGCCTAATTTTAGCTGATTAGGTGTCCATTTCTCTAACAAAAACAAGTTGAGCCCACAGACCAACTCTACATAACTACCTTTCTTGTGTGGTCCAACTACAACTATTCCGCTCGTGAAAACGTACCTGGTCTATTTGTCTTGCATGAACGATAGATGTCGTGGCGTGACTTGGTTTGGTTTGGCACGAAGTTATTTTTGATTAAGGGAGTTAATTATGTTTACTTTAATTTAATATGTTCAACTCCTCCGGTCCCTCCAATATATAGATTATAGACATAGCGTGTATGTTAAAAAAAGGCCTAATCCATCGGTGACCCCTTAAAGTTGGTACGAAGTTTCACTTGGACTTCTCAACTAGACGATGTTCATTCTAGATATCTCATGTAGAGTTCAATTGTATCATTTTGATACTTTTTTTATATGAGGTGTGTGTTACACTTGCGAATGACGTGTCATGTGACAAATTAAATGATGACACTTGTCATTTGTGTCAAAAGCAATTCTTAAATAATGAATTTTGAATAAAAATAAAAAGTGACCAATGAATGAATAACATATAGAATTTTACCCCAAAAAATAAAATAAAATCCACTCATACCCCCCCCCCCCCTCCACACACACACGATTTCTCCCTACCTTGCAGAAACACCCCTCCTACCCATTTGCAGAAAAATACCCCGTGCCCACTCCACACTGACTTCTCCAAATACCTACCCACTTGCAGACACCCCCGTTCCTCCCCTGATTTTTTTTGTCCAAATCCCTTTTTTTTTTTGCATAACATCTGGGCACACACGCACTTACACACCGTTCATGAATAATTTAATACTTAAATCTCGAAATTGGTTTATTCTTATATTTCTAAAATATTTTTCATCATCTTATTGTAACTATATTTATTAACCATTGTTGGATGTTTAAGTTTGCAAAAATGATGGCTTAAAATGAAGAAGAAAAAGAAGAAAAAAATTAAAAAGTTGACTAAATAAGATTTTCACGTGCGGTCAATGAGTGTATTACACTTGCTAAGCCATGTATGCAAAAAATATCACAATGACACAATAGGAGCCAACATAAGGTGTTTAAAATGAACATTGTCCAGTTAAGGTGTCTAAATGAAATTTCGTGCCAACTTTAAGGGGTCACCGATGAATTAGACCTTTATATATTCATTAGAACAACTACATGTACATGCATGTAACGAATAATAAAATGCAACAATTACAAATAAAATTTTAAAATTGTGACATGAAGCATCAAATGAGGAATCTTATTTTAATGTTTAAAATTTATCAACAAACTGTAAATTTAGAACTTTAGATAGTAATTAGCCAATTTGCATTGTATATAGTCAGAAAAGATTAATTTTAGCCTAAATAAAAATACACTTAGAACAATCAGAAATTTATAGAAAATCAAATTAAAGAAGTTTAATAGAGACAACACATACAAAAATAAACACAGAAAAAATCATGCAACAACATATACATTCTTTTTAAGACTTTAATCATAACAATATGTATATGAAAAAAGAAATACAAAATCACTATATATTTTTTCGAGTTAGTGCTGACACTTCTCCCATAAGCAATTATAATTCAAGAGTCTTCTTCATTTAGTTAAAGTATGAATCAAATAGAACAATAATGATATAAGCGGTACACTATTTAAACTATAGAATGAAAGAATAACCTTAGTTAGGGTACTCATGAAACAAATAAAGATAAATTTATATGGATAAAAATAGGATAATTAGATAGTGTAAGTTATGAAGATGAATATATTATTCCTTATCACAATGAAAAGAAAGAATACAATAACTGCAATTGTTATTCAAAATAATAGTAGCAATTAAAGTTGCACCAAATAATTTATCTAAATTATTATCGATGAAACATTGCAAGATCCTCCATCTTTTCAATCAACATTCCTTTAATAAAATGAAGGAATAATTTACACTTAGATATTTAAATAATCATTTAATCTTTAATGGGCATTATGATCTTTATATATTGATTTAACTCAATGGTCTCATAATAAAATAATTTACTTTTTAGTATAATGAAATGTATTTTAAAAAATGAAACTATTTTAGTCTTTAAAAGGGTAGAAATGCCTAATATTTTTTTATGAATATTTTGTCTTTCAACTTTTTGACTTAACATTTTCAGATTTTTAATATTTAGTGTAGCATATAGAATGATTACTATTTAATATTTAATTAAGTAAATGTTTTATAATATTTTGATTTAACATAGGAATAAAGTGATAATCCAACTTTATACTATGTTGTTTAAATCTTTTTTACCCTTCAATCAAAAACAACCTTCGTAGGAAAAAAATTGGACAAATACAATGAAAACTTATCACACAATGTAATATAACACAAAAAGATTGAAGAGAGGACACCATATCAGAAAGAAAAATTATGCATTAGGATCGTATCATATATAGCCAAAAAGAACATACACAATGAAATTAATTTTATACAATGACAAACAATCAAAGAAATATAAAAAATATTATGAACAACATAATTGTAGTCCACCTTACTTTTTTTCTATTAATATACCAACATATTATCTAAATATAACAAACAAATCATTAAATATAGAAGGAATAATTATATAATTAACAAAACTAAAACGGAAAAAATTGATAGCTAAATTGTGACTTACTCTTTCAATGGATTTATTGTACATCCATCTAATTGTCAAAATAACACTTTCAAATGTATTAGAATCTTTGTGTGCCATCATATAGTTTCATGCAATAGAGAAGACCAAGAAAATTTTCATTCCAAGAAAAAAGGGTTGGAATATGAATTCTTGTACTTTTGAGTGCTCTTGATTTGTGTTGTTATTTTCTTTCTACATGTCTTAAATATCTATACATTTCAATAATATGTGGAAGATGAAAATAATTCAAGTTAATTAGAAAGGTTGAAGTGACATATGAAAGTTCAAAAAAGTGATCTTTTCATTTACCATATTCATTGTAATTGAATGTAAGTTTAGTGTGTTCAAAATTTAAAAACTGAAAAAACCTTTCAACTTCAGTAATTAAGTGATGCATGAATAAATAGGAGTAATAGATAGACTTTAAAAAATCTGATCATTTGCCTTACGTAATTGAAAGACATTGACTACATAAATTAAAACTTTCTCCCTAACTTTAAATACTTTAGAAAATTAAACAGAAGGATATAGTATAATTTGATATATATATATATATACACCATTATGTAATTAAAATATTTTTATTTAATTAAATAATTAATCAAAATTTAATTTAGTATAAGGGTAAAATGATAATTCAACTTTTTACTTTGAAGCTTTTCACTCATAATAATATATGATATGATATGATATGATTGTTCTTATATGTACTCCTTCGGTTAGAGTAGTAGTAGTTAGGTGCCTAATTTTGGCTGATTACTTGTCCAAATAATTAAGCAGACCCCACAAATTAAACCAACTCTAATCTCGTGAACACGCTCCATTTTGTCTTGTATGAAGATCTCAAGAGACATCCATTTTTTTTTTAAAATTTTATTATTATTATTATTATTATTATTATTATTATTATTATTATTATTATGCTATTGATTAATGGGAAAATGGTCAAATATGCTCCTAAACTATTCGAAAAGGTCTAGATATACTCCCCGTTTAAAGTTTGGCTCACTCGTGCCCTCACCGTCCAACTTTTCATCTAGATATGCCCTTATGGGCATTAAATGCCAAATGGAATTGTCACGTCATTTTTACATTACCACGTGACATTTATATTAAAGGGAAAAAGGTCAAATATACCCCTAAACTATTCGAAAAGGTCTAGATATGCCCCCTTTTAAATAAACTACCCGACCCGTTTTCAACAAATTTTTTTCGGTAAATCTCGAAAATGAGTAATTGACTAATAAAAAATATAAAATTAACGCCAAAAATTCACAAATAAATAAAGTAACCTTAAATTCAACAATTTCAACAATTTTTTTTTTAAAAAAATTCGATAAATCCCGAAAATGAGTAATTGATTAATAAAAAATATGAAAAATATAACCTAAAAATTGATTAATTAATTGTTATACCCATCATTTGGTTTATGGGATAAGAAATAAACATAACATGCAATGTAGGATTATATTGTTGAGTTTTTAATTTCGGGATTAGCAATCAAGGGAGTATGATTTCCTTGCTTTGTCATCTGTATGAGGAAATTAAAACTATAATCCTTCCAAGTGAAAGGTTATGATTTACAAGTCACATGCATAAACTTCTATATCTCAAATTAAAGGGAACAACATAGTTTGTTTCCAACATAACTTACATCTGTCTGACCTGTATAAACTCATAATACAGATAGCTGCATAACATAAGAGAAGTACTATAATCCTATTACACCTTCCTTTCATTACCTTTTGTTGTGACTTGTAATAAACTAGTCATGTTTATGTGTTTGATGTTCAATCACACTCCACAAGCACCATTGTTCTTTGCCTCCTTCAACAGTTTCACCACTTCAAGCATTGATGGTCGCTTCCATGGCTCATCGCTGGTGCATAACCTTGCAATGGAAAGAACGCGCAGCATTTGATCATTCAATAATCCTGAACCAGAAATAAATGGATCCAACGTTTCAATCTCCCTGCCATTTGAAACCATCCATCTCACCCAGCCAACAAGATTGCCTCC